TGTTAGTTGGACAGTCATGAGAATCGTTTAGTATTGCTAAGCCAGCTCACTCTGTAATTGGTGTTTGTTCCATGTTTGGATCATTTGTCAAGTTTTATGTGGTTGTTCCTGATCGTAAATCAGAACTAAATTCTCCTAAGCGTCTTCGAATAGAAACCAGAAAGTTTTTACCACCTCTACTTACGTCTACAAGAAATAGAAAGGAAGAGCTCTATAATTCTGTGGTTCAACAACTGTCAGTAGATGGGCTTGGTTGGCATGAGCCACTTAAGTATGGAAAACCATTTATTACTGATCTTTGTCATTTATTATGGTTCATTGATGGTCATCACGATGTATTCCGTAGCTGGTCTTGTGCTATTCCCGCTTTTCAAAGTTTGTTGGCTTTAATTGTCCCGAATTGAGTAAGCACAGGAAAAAATCTATTTCTAACATGAGCAGGGAGAAGCTAGTAGAGCATGCTGCTACATTGCAAGAATATGCAGTCAGTAGTTGGATGCAACAACCAGATTGGACAGAATTACATAACTCAATAATGAAATTGATAGAGTCACTTTCATCGTATGCTTCTTACATTTCCATTTATAATAAAGTAATGAAGCGCCATCACTCTTCACCTGAACCTGCCGTTGCTTTCTCTGATGCAACTAGTGTACGATACTTCCTAAAACAGACTCTGTGTCTCCCTCCTCTCTTCTCTCGATTCTGCTCTAATAAATGTTTCTATGTATGAAAAAATTTTTGTTAATGATTTTGCACCTAATGATAGCTAGCAGAAATATCTCTACATCAGAGAATTAGAAAGGGGCTTATCATGTCCTGTTTTTTTCTTCACATATACACATGGCTCTAATGTTGGAAATTTTTACTTAATATGGAAGGCTCCTGAACATGTGTGTATAGAGGCATGTACTCCAGAGAATGCACGTATTACTAAAGAAATTAATTCTCAGATTCCTGTATATCATACAAGAACTATGAAATGGCAATTTTATGATTTATATGGCAGAATAACATCTAAGAGCAATTCATATCAGTTACAAAGTATCTATCAGTCTTCAACTGGTGACTGCTCTGCAGCAACAACAATGTCTGAAGAGGAAATTGATAAGCTAGTTACTGAAGCACTTGCAATACAAGACCCAGATATTATTGTTGACCTACGTCACTGAAATTCCAATGAGAGTGATCGTTTCACTCTTTTTTGGGAGAAATGCACACAGTATCTGTTTACTTGTACAGCTTTCCATGAAAGCAGACATGACACTGTTACTTTTATGGCAAAGGCTATATCAGTTTGGGACCTAATCCAAGAGGTTACCAAGTTATGCCCTGAAGGCACTCCTGTTCCCTCTCATGCATGGGTCTCTTAATTTCTGTCCCAAAGAATCCTCATTCTCTCATAGCTAAATGGTATACTGGGAGATTACAAGCAAAACATGTCATTCAAAAGAGGCGATGAAGCAAATCACACCCAGATGCAATTACTGTTCTGCTCTGTTTTGATATATGAGAGACTACGCAATGAAATATAGCGACATTTCGCTCTTTGTTTCTTTAGATAATAAACATCGCATCAAAATTGGAGAACCAGGGTTCCCAGTAGCTGCAGCAGAACGTGGTCATCAAGTAATTGTTTCCTCTTAAGATACATTTGCTGTAGGTGATCATGATTTTTGTAAGTTCAGTTTCATTCCCAGTGTGACTTTATTAGTTGATATACCTGAAGATATTGAAAGTTCCTGGTACTCAGGGCAAGTCTTTGTGGGCATAAAAGATGCTGCTTTTGAGCCATCATCCCCATTAAGACATGCAAAGGAATTGCATAACTGTTTAATGAATCAGGTGAAAGGTCGGCATATATTATTTGTTTAGGACCTGATTACAGGTTGACATATGCTAGTGTTCAAATATCAATGATAGCTCTATTTCTAAACCTGGATCTTGATGTGCTTATTGCTGGAAGAACTGCTCCTTCCCATTCTTAGGCGAACCCAGTCGAATGAGTAATGTCCATTGTAAACTTGGGAATGCAATGCATTGGTATTATGAGAGAGAAAATGGGAGATGACTTCGAACAGGCAGTTAAAAATGCAAACAATCTAAAGGATATTTGAAGGAATTGTTCAGAGATGAAGCACGATGTTTCTAAATCTCTGAAGTCTTCTAAAGATCTAATTGGTAGTATTATAACTCGTTTAGAACTTAAAGGAAAGAAGTTTCAGGTATTTCAGAGTGCATCTGATGCTAAAATAGATTCCTTTTTTGAAGTGTTGTTGAAAGTAGACCTTTTACTAACGAAAGATCATACTACACGTAAAGATTTAAAACGTCTCTCCTCTTTGCAATCATTCATTTCTCACTGCTGTTTATTTCGAAATTATTCTATCACCATCAAAAAGTTTGGAAAAGACAATTGTTCTATTTGTCTTCCAGTTAAGATGTCTTTAGATGTTTTTCAAGGTTAGAGGATGTGTACTTTTACAAACATAGTGTGTTCTGTTATTTGTATAAATTATTATGTTGTGGGACAAATTTCTCAACTTTACAAACAGGCCTAAAGAAAATTTAATTATGTTAAGCTACTCCATTGTTTCCCTTTCCCGCCCACATCAGCAAAGATTATTGATGTATACAAATCAATTTATATTGCATTGATAAAAATTTTAATTAATATTAATGAAGCTGCCTAGTGCCTCACGGGTGTTTAATTTCCTTTATTGTGTGCAAAAAGTCTTGTCATAGAGCGTCATATAAAAAATTTAAATAATCATAGAAACGCCCTAGCAACGGAATATAGCTGGAAAAAAGATCATGTGACCAAAAGGGGAAGCCCTTTTGAGCTTGAAACCATGCTAGTAAGATAGAGCTGATAATGGCCTCGAAAAAGATGCTTGAAGTTTGTCTGAACTACTTTCTGTTCGCTTTTTACGAGTTCAAGTTATTGATACGGGATTCTTTGTTTCGATCACAACAGGAGAAGATCAGTTTTGCCGTACAATGCTCTTCTTTGAAGGGAAAGATGAAGAGACTGTCGAGCCGTCTAGATGTGGACCAGACTGTTAACATTTTTTTGTAGCGAGTTACAAAGCTCCAAATTGAGGTACCTACACGGATAACTTTTATTTAATGAGCAGTGTTTAATAGACTATACAAGTGTGTGAGAGAGGAGTTTGGAGGGATGTAGATTCAGTCTTTCTTTGTTCACTTTTTGAGTGGAGGTGGTTCAAGGGATGTTATTGATGGTAAGAGCTTTAAATGGTGATTTTGTAGCACCACTCGTAATCGTTCTACCCTATATACCATATTATTATAGGCTCTCTCAGCATTGTTGAAGCTTGCATGGAGACTCTCAGCACCCTGTTCCCCCATGCATCCACAGCCCACTTTCCATCTCTTCATCCAGGGTACTACATGATCTTCCAACATGTGCATTTTTGGTAAAATAGATGCTGTTGGGAAGGACCGTCTATAGAAGTCAAGGAAGGTGTCAATGGCTCTTTCTATTAAATTGAAATTAATTTTATGTAGAGGTAAATGATTATTAGCATACTGTACCTAATGTATCAATTTCAGCATTTGTAAGCAAGGAACTGCTGTCATAAATTTTGTGACAGGATGAAAAACGCGTAAAGACATTAACAAACTTGTCCTGTATGTCCTTTGCTTTTTGCTGTAAAGCAGTGTCAGATATTGATGCAGCAGTTAGAGAAACTGATTGACACATAGTCATAATGTTCTGTGGCTGTATAAAAAGAGAATCACCAGGTACAGTGTATGACTTAAAATCACTTAAGTACCTTTAAAGCCTTATGTACATGATTGCCGATAAAAGATCCCCCATGGTATGCCTGTTTTTCAACATTAAAAGATTTGAGGGCCATCTCAAGTGATTTCACAAAAACTCCATCCTCACGTTCAAACCCCATTGATACCACCTTTTCATTTTGAGTAATAGACTGATCCTGTATAAAAGTATATGTACATTTAATGTATTGCCAGTCTTACATTAGTAGCCATCCTATTTGTATGATCATGAATGTATTTGGTGATGTCTTGTATCCTTCTATCCAGCTGAGGTTGTGGACTAGATAGCAACAACAATGCCAGTATCTGCTGTGCCTGGTTTAGCTCCACCCTTAGAACTGCTTGTTCTTCCTCCAGTGCCTTAACAGCAGATCTAGCTTGCTGATATTCTCTAAATGAAGAGCCAGATGAAGCACAGCTCTTGCTAATGCTGAGATCGAGTTGATGACACTCTTCCTCTAAAAGGTTGAATAACCTTTGAAAGATTCCAAGAGTGATATGTAGTCCTGGTGGGCATACCTACATGTAACATTACACACAGAATAAAATTGATACTTACATGTATAATGGCATAATTATATTTACTTGATGCAGTGGAATATCAAAAAATGCCTCTCCCATTACATTATCGAATAACATGGCCTTTTAAAGATTTCCACCATCTGCCATAAATCGTTCATACTTGTACTGCAGTGTCTGGAGAGTGTGCTCTGTGCATTGCTGCCTTGTTAATCTGGCTGTTTTTAGCTCTTCTGATGTGATGTTACACCAAAGGCAGCAATGGCGTCCTTATTTTTAATTTTAAAAATAATTTTATTAAAAGTTTCTTACCACTCGCTCCAGACATTCCATACATATTGCATAGAAACTCATAGTCCCCTGCCATAAAGACTCGAATGCTATAATTCCTGTAATGTGTCATTGTTTATTCATTTGTTTATTCATTGTTAATTTTTTATTGATTTCGTACCTCCATTTAGCTCTTTGAAGATTTGATATAGCAGACTTGTATTGATCCTATGCCAAATGAAGGTTGAAGACAGTGTCAGGTGCTTCAAAAAGAGAAAAAACACAGCTGTTGGTGACTGAATTTGGTTTGGCTGTGTTTATGAGTTGAAAGGAGGCCTTCACAGATGAGCCTCCTTTTTCTCCTCCTACTTTAATCCAGACTTCATCAGCTGGGATTATACTACTTTAATCCAGACTTCATCAGCTGGGATTATACCATCATGCCAAGTAAGTTGACATAACCTGATAACATGTTGCATAAAGTATGTAATTGATTACCTTACCTTGCTCTTTTATCTAAAAGATGGAAAATAACTGATGTCAAATCAGTCACACAAGCTAGTGGAGCAAGTCTTATCTCCTGTCCTCCTCTTTTCAAAGGAAAATTAAAGGAAATCGCCTCTGCTCTGATCTCTATATTCCTTAGGTCAGTCTTCATCCTCTCTCTCTGTTTTCCTTCACTTGCAACAGTCACATTCCATGTTTTCAGCCACCTAGGAAATATACTTCAATTTTGTTATTTTAAAATAATCTTACCTTTTCATAATTCTTATTTTTTGC